AAGAATTATGGAATCCTATCATAAAAATATTACATGAACGAAGAGATCAATGGAATGGTGGAGATATGTGGACTTTTAGATTTTTTGAATCATGGAGATAGTGCTGTGTTAAATCAAGATATTTTACCTGATGTTGGTGAGTTCTATCATTATTTTTGTTCTTTTGTCATTCAATATTTATTTGATCATTATATTTAGTTTTGAAGTTTGACTTTGCTCGAGATATCCTTCAACTTATTGACAAAGCAAATATAAAAAAGCCAATTATTGGTATAGGGCACTCAGTTGGTGGTCATTCCATGTATGAATTTTTTTTCTATTATATTTTATCAGTACATACGTAGCATATACTCAATACATCACGTGATAATTATAGGTTACTTGCAGAAATTCTTCGTCCTGGAACTTTTACAAGTATCCTTGCTATTGAACCTATAATGAAGCCTAATCTCGTTAAAGAAATGAATCCTCTTAAAGAGTTAGATATTAAAAGAAGAAGAGATAGATGGCCGGATAGGTAGGAACATTTTTATTGATATTCTTTATGATATCGAAACAGTAACTTTTAATCAATTTAAATACCGGTACGATTGTTTAAAAAAAAATTCATAAATCAAATAGAGAAGCAGCATATGCAAGTTTCATTACGAAAAAGTTTTTTCAAAGTTGGGACCCTGAAGTACTTAACCTCTATATTGTAAATAATATCACTTGATTTTTTCTTTCTTTTATACTCGTTATCAGTTTAAAGGTCAAATTAATGGTTTATGAATAATTTTATAGCAATATGGATTATGTGAATTGCCGTCCGGAGAAGTTATATTAAAATGTTCCAAAATTCAAGAGTTTGTAAGTTTTCTTTAATATAATTCAATATATTTGATTATCTAAATTTTTAGAATTTCGTTTCTAAATATGATTTTTATCTATATATTTATTTATTTTTGTGATATTAGAATTCATTTTATTCTGATACGTCATCATCAATCACTTTATTTCATCGAATATCGGAAATTCAATGCCCTATTCTATTTGTTGCTGGTGACAAATCGAATTTTGAGTAAGTATTATGTTAGTGTCAATTATTATCAACGTTATACACTAGATTATTCCGAGTAGAAATTGCTGTTCAAAATGTATATCCGCAATCTTTAGTAATACAATTCTTAATAAATGCGGTTTTCTCTCGTCATAGGTCTAAAGAATTGAGTCTTCTTAATGCATCACAATGCAAACATAATGAGCTTATATTTGTAGATGCTGGTCATTTGGTTGGTTTATCTCTATTTTTTTTGTCATAAAATACGGTATTTTTATATTATCTTATAACGTGAATTTTATTCAAAAACTTATGCAGGTGCCAATGGAAAAACCTATACAAGTTGGTAAGTCAATTCAAATATTAATATCCTTATTACTATTATTATTACTCATCATTAATATCCTTAGCGTATATAATCGAATATTTTGCGCGTAAATTTTTGATAAATACCAATCCGTTACAAAAAAATCGATCTAAAAATGGCAATATATGTCCGGTTTCGGCTATGTTATAGTTAGAAGAATATTTAAATTACGTACTTATGTAAACAAAAACTACGTGCTATTTTCATTTAATTTACGAATATATGAATATACGAGTTTTTTTTTTTTGTTTTGGTTCATTAGAAACAAAAAAATATAAAATAATATAAGCAATTTAATATACAAATTGTAAACCAATTTATGAAATCGGTAAGAAACTGCTTCAAATTACATTGTGTATCGATGATAAAGTTATGAAGATATTATGCTGTCATCATGGTGAAACCTTTTTTTTAAATTCTAACCAACACAAATCAATGATATTTAGCTGCTTCTCTCTTTCTTAAAGCACGTTTTCTGATATCTGTTTGTTGACCTTTTTTTTTTTTTTTTTTTTTTTTTTTTAAAGCGAGATTTTGTCTCAATTTCTTTATTGATTTTAATATATAGGTACATTATAAGTGTATTACAATATAGTATATACTATCTATCTATGAAAATTAAGACTTAGGCTAATTTATCTACGACCTAAACTTTGCTAAGAAAGGTCAAAGGCCTCACTTAGTCTATGATTGTATTTATATGATTAGGTAAAGTGTTAAATTAAGAAAATAGAGAGTACTATTTGGAAAGTTTGAGATTTCAGTTTTGGTCAGTTATTGTTAAGTTATGAGATTCTGTAATAGATCTAGATATAGTTTGATAAGATATCTTATGATCTATTACATCTGTTTCTGTAGTTGTTTTTTGTTGACACCATGTTAGCTATATTTCTTTGTAGATTCTACTAGAAATCTTGTGGAGAATAAGTATTGTGAGATTGGATTTATCTTTTTTTTTTTTTTGTAAGTTTGTTAATTTGAAGTGTGTTTTGTAATAGAAGTAGTTCAAAAGTAGTTTTAGTTGTATTATTTTCAGAGCTGCATAGATCAATGTGTTTGATGATAGTTGTAATAGTTTGTTGTCAAATATTTTGTTCATATACTTCATGGGATATTAGGATCTTGTTTACTATTTTAGAAATAATGTGTCTAATACTTATACTGTTTTCTTTGCAAGTTAGTAAGTGGTAATTGCTTTCTGTAGTTTCTTTGCATCTAAAGCAAAGTGAGTTAGGATATTTTTTAGGGTTGCATTCATAAAGTACTTCTAGTATTAGAAGTTTTTCTAGAAGTAGTTTAAGTTTGAAGGTTTTCATCTTTGAGTATTTAGAATTTGTTTCTCTTTACATGAATATGTACTTGTAGTTTATATATTTGTAGAAAGTTGTTCAGTCAGTATCTAGTCTTAGTATATCTCAGTATAGTATTTACATTTGTGAGTACTACTATGCTATTTGATATATATTTTGGAGATATCAAATAAATCTATATAGGTTATGTTTAATTAGAATTTGTTGCCAAGTAGAATAGCAAGTATTGTATTATATATAGCTATAGTTAATATTAGATTCATATATTATTTGGTTTGGTATATTAATATTTGTATCATTGTTCAAGTTGTTGTGATTAAGAGCATATTGAAGTTCTTTTTGAATAATTATAGTTTTCTATATTAACTAGCTTAGCTAGTTGTTTATTTAGTAGATTTTAGAAAGATTAGCTATTGGTAGAAAGAGGATCTTTTCTGCTAGTTGTTAGAAGTAAATTCTGTTAGTACTTATTTGAAGTTTAGTTTTAAGTATGATAATTAGAGATATATATATGATAACTATAATTAAGTTTTTAGTAGTTGAGAGCTAAGCTTAGTTTTGATTAGTAGTTAGTTTTCTAAAAAGTAAATTTTACATACAATTACTTCATTCTGTATATTGTTAATAATATGTTATATAGTAATGAATTAGATAGTGAGTGATTTGTATATATTTAATGATTAATAGATATTCTATAAGTAGTTTGTATATATAAAAAAAAAAAAAACTCTTTCCTGTACATTCCAATTTACATATAAAATTTTTTGTATATAAGAAAAAGTTAATCGGAAACAACTAATGAAATAAAAATTCTTAAAGAAGTGCAAGTACAAACTACTGGAGTGCTAACAAGCACTCCATACTGTTATAAAATAAATTTTAGTATTTTACTTAATTATTATATTTTATATAATTAGATTTAGTTATTAGCATTTTTTTTAATAACTTATTAGCTAAAGTTAGAATTAGATTTTACTATTAGATCCAGTTCGAAGAGATCTTTCAAACGAGCTATAATTCATAACTGTAGAATTCATAGTTTTAGAGTTGTCTTAGAAACAATCTAGAAACGATTACTGTTCTTACTGTTCTTACTGTTCTTACTGTTCTTACTGTTCTTACTGTTCTTACTGTTCTTACTGTTCTTACTGTTCTTACTGTTCTTA